CCGACCCCCGCCGCGCGCCCGCCGCCGCGGCGCGCCCCCGCGCCGGCTCCTGGCTGCGCCGTGCGCGCCCCCCAACCGTCGCCTCCCGCCCGGGGCCCCGGGCTCACGAAACACCTCCCTCCGCTCGCCCCGACCCCGTCTCCGCACGCTCCCACCCGCCGCCGCCGCCTCTCCCCGAGCCCCGGGCACGGCGGCCCCGCCCGCTCGGAGCCCGCAGCCCGCGGCGGCCGGGCCGTCACTGTCCACGTTACCATCTCGGACTGTGCTGAAGCTCGGATAAGCGAGGAAGAGACGAGGCCAGGCGGACGCACAGCGAGATCCCGGCGCCCACTCCTCCGTCGTACCGCGATTCAAACTGCGCCGTCTCCCGCCTTCCTCGCGCCCTTTATACCGCAGAATGTTCCCTCATCCGGGAACCCGGGCTGGCTCGGCCCACCAATGGTTGCCGCCCGCCCTCGGGATGCGCCCTTGAGGTTCCGGCCAATGGGAGAGCGTGGAACGGGGTGGTGGGGCGGGCGCTCGCGAGCTCGAGCGGTGATTGGCTGCTGTGGGACGAGTGGGGGAGGCGGCGGGACGGGACCGGGAGAAGAAGGGCGCCGCGGCGGGAGGGCAGAAACAGAGCGCTGCGCCACCGAGGGAGCGGACGGTGGCGTCACGTGCCCGGAGGGAGGAGCTGGGAGGCCGGGGAGGGGCGCACGCCGGCGTCCTCCCCGCCGCACCCCTCCCGCCCGCCCCCATCCCCCGCGAGGCTCCGGAGACCACGTGAGCTCCCCTCCCGGGCTAGCCTGGCCCTTCGCTGACAAGCCAGGCCTCGCCGTTTCCCTCCCGCCGGTCTCCGCTTATCTCGGCTTCCTTCCGCCTCCTCCTTTCTGACAAGTTGGCTCGGAGGCGTCCAGTGAGAAGCACTCAGGCCGGCCTGGTGAAGCGCTTCCCCGATCTGAGGATCTCTTCACCCCCAGAGGTTGATTGTTTTCCGTCTTCCCCCGCGTCTGTTCTCACCTCTTTAGACCCCCCCTTCACCGCCTCATCCTGTCTCATAACAGCCGTGGGGTCTCAGGTTACCTTGGTGATAACAAGTAATTTTGTCCCCACCCAGGAAGCTTAGGATGAAGCGTTGTTATATTGAAGTCATCAGCCATATTTTTACGGAGACTCCACATGAATGGGATGCGCCTGTAGCCTAGTCCCTAAAGTTGATTTATCGAAACATGAAAGCTATTATGTGTCAGCTTCCCCACACTAAACATTTTGCCACTTGACGAATGTTGGTAAATGTCAGTGGGGTAACTGTAACATGATTCACAAGCAGTTACAGATGGCTCCTGTAATCAATTACAAATGCTGGGCTTAAAAAAAAAAAAAAAAAAAGCCCGCACCCGGTACTGTCCTGATGCCAGCCAGTTACACTTGCAATTAGTAGGTCGACAACACCTGTGTACATGACTGACCTTGGAGGCCGAAAGGATCCAAATGTTACTTATTTACAGCACTTAGTATGTAACAGTTTTAAATTAACATTATTGTGTGGCAATGAGAGTGGGTGCTCATGCCATGACGATTTTGTGGAAATCAGACAACTTGAGCGAGTTCTGTCTTTCCAGGGTTCCAGGAATGGAACTCAGGTTTTCGGGCTTGCACAGCGAGAACTTTTTACCCGTTGAGTCATTTCGCCGGCTCAGCAGTGTATTAAATAGTATATTGAATAGTAACGTGGAGAGAATTTTGAAGCATAAACCCTGCTTTATTGTGAGCTCTAGTTCGAAAGATTTTTATGACATTAGAGGACTTCTCTGATAGAGAAGAAGCTCCCAACCTTATTGATGCCAAGGCTTATTTTTGGAACTAAAGAATTATAATGATGCCATCATGTGACAAAAACAACAAAAGAAAACAACTGTAAGCTCCTGCAATCGCAGCACCCTGGAGGCTGCATCAGAACAGTCACACCAGAGAGCCAGTCGATGCTACACACAGAGTCTATTTCAAAACCTTAAGGATTGGCCAGCTGAGCTGGTGGCAGCCCACCTCCTTAATTCCAGCCCTAAGGAGGCAGAGGGGGGCTGATCTTTGTGAATTCGAGGGCAGCCTTGTTTACACAGTGAGTTCTGGCACAGCCAGGATGCAGTAAGACCCTGTCTTTAAAAACAAGAAAAAAGTATAGAGCCAAGCCCAGTGTGACAGTTAACCTTGGCTTCTGATGAGATTTCCTGATGTTTACCTCACAATTAGCCTCAGTTCATTCTCTAGAAAATTCTGCACAAGCATTTTTGCTATGGAATCCAGCTAGCAGAGTTTACTGTCTCCTCACTGAACAGTGGTAGGGAAATAAACTCACTAGGAAGTACACATGAAATCTGCAATGCCTCTTCCCCACTGTGTCATCTTTTTTCTAACCCCCTTGGTTTTTAGTGTTTTTTTGTTTGTTTTGTTTTGTTTTTAATTCTGTAGGCCAGGTTAGCCATTCTATATATATCAGGTTGAATTCAAACTTGTGGTCCTTATTCTTCTGCATTCTATATGCTGCGTTTATAGGTGCTTACTACCATGAGTTTCAAAAAAAGTTATTGACCTTTTGAAAGCTCAACCTACATGCCACCTTTTCACACAGATGTTAAAGGATTAAGGAAAAAGGCATGCCAAGCATGTGGTAGCCTGTGCTTGATACACAGCAATTGCTCAAGAAACAAATATTCTATAAGGATAATGAGGGAGGTATAGTGGTTAGAAAGAGAATCAACCCACAGGCTCATATATTTGAATGCTTGGTCCTCAGTTAGTGGACCTGATTGGGAAGGACTAGGAGATATGGCCTGGTTGGAAGAGGCGTGTCACTGGAGATAGCTTTGAGGTTTAAAAACTTTAAGCCGAGCCCAGTATCTCTGTGTGCCTGCAGATTAGGATGAAAGTTCTTCGCCCCATGCCATCCTGCCTGCTGCCACGATGATCAGGGACTAAACCTCTGAAGCTGTAAGCAAGCCCCCAATTAAATGCTTTCTTTCATAAGCCTTGCTTTTGTCATGATATGACTAAAACAAAAGGGCACATAAAGTAATTTATATTCCTAATCTGTTTTCCCTGAGTAGTACTTTTGCTTCTTTTGATGTGGTAACAGCAAGCATAAAGGCCACCCAAAGTATGCCAGTGTTGTTGAATGAAAAAATGTCACCCATAGTCTTGGGCATTCAAACAACTTGATCCCAACTTTGGGGAGATTTAGGTGGTGCAGCCTTGCTGGAGGAAGGATGCTACTGAGAACAGATATTGGGATTAAAAGCTTCACACCACTTCCATCAAGTTCATGCTGCTTCATGCTTACAGTTAAAGATGTGAGCTCTTGGCTTCCTTTTTCTCCTGCCAACCCTGCCCCTTGTTTCTATGCCTCTCCACCCTGATGGAGACTTTTCCATTGGAACTGTGAGCCAAAATAAACTCTTTACAGAAGTTGCCATGGTTATGATATTTATTCTCCTTTTTGTTTGTTTGGGGGGGGTTGGTTTTTCAAGACAGGGTTTCTCTGTGTAGCTTTGGCTGTTCTGGACTGGCTTTGTAGACCAGGCTGGCCTCGAATTCACAGAGATCCTCCTGCCTCTGCCTCCTGAGTGCTAGAATCATAGCCATGTGCCACCGCACCCACCTGCTATGGTATTTATCTCAACAACAGAAAAGTACCTGATACAGAAGTTGGTACTCAGAGTGTTGTTACTGTATAGAGCCTAACCATGTTTTTTGTTTTGTTTTTTGAGGACCTTGGGACTTTGGATTACAAAAATGGGTGCATGGTGTAAGTAGAGCTTAGTAGAGCATTCATAGTAGGAGCCTGGAAGACAGTAGTGCTAAGAGTCATGCTGACTGTGGGAAACCTGCCAGGGAGAACAGCATACATGGAATGGAGCCAGCCCAAGAAAGAGCTATGTTTTGTAGACGGCAAAGCTGGAGGGCTGGAGCCTTTGATACTGGAAATAGAACTACAGAATTTGGTATTTGCCCTGTTGTGTTTGATCTCACTTTGGGCCAGTATTTGTTATGTTGTTAATCCCACTGGGCAAGAATAAGACCACTACCACAATTTTTGAGCCAAATTTGAAGCCAGCTTTATGAAGTACTAGCCAGAACAGTGGACCCTAGCCAGGTCCATACCCAGGATTTCCAGATCCTGGCTGCAAATTAGTCAGTGATTTATAAAAGCAAAACCCACAAGGCTACATACTTCCCACCTTTGTCCAGTCGGGGGCAAGCATGCACCCTGACATACCCCCAACTTGTGTGTCATCAAGCACATCCTGTGCATCGGGAACAATCGAGCTTATTTACGGAAGTGAAAACACAAGGCTTGTTACCTTACATGTACAGCAGCTCCCAGAATTCTGGGAAGCTGGCTTTCCTTAGGCAAGTGGGGCTGTTGCAGGATGTTTTATCACTCTGTGAACCCCAAGATTGTGTTGCTTACTGGAAAAACCCATCTCTAGTTGTGTGGCTCAGCCCTAGCACACATCTTTAATTCAACAGCTTTCTGCTTGAGTATTGTAAACAGAATTAAATAAAAGTCAACCTTAGGTCAAGAAGCAGAGCAAGCAACCAGCTGACAGGGAGTGAACATGGGGGAAAAAACAGAGGAAGAGGAAGTCAGGAGGATGGATAGAGAGACTCACAGGAAATAGAAGGGAGGAAGAGTGAGTTTGAAGGATTTTTTTTTTATAATTTATTTATTTGTATTTTAGACGCATTGGTGGTTTTGCCTGCATGTATGTCTGTGTAAGGGTATCAGATACCCTGAACAGAGACAGTTGTGAGCTGCCATGTGGGTGCTGGGATTTGAACCTTCGTCCCCTGAAAGAACAGTCAGTGCTTTTAACCCTGAGCCACCTCTCCAGCCCCTTGAGGTGTTTTTGAGATGGTATGGAGAAGGACAGTGCTTCTTTGGGGACCCAGCATCTGGCTCCCGAGTCTTTACTGGTAAAAATCAAAGGATTGAAATTTTGTTAAAAACAACATGGGACTTACAAGTTTGAGGCAAGTTTGTATTATGGATCTCTTAAGCACAGTAATTTAAAGTTAACACATAACTTTAGCTATCACAGTTTCCCCACTCTCTTTTGGAATGGTAATGTATACTCTGTACCATAGCATGTTGAAAGTATATAATTTGCTTTTCTTATTTTTGTTTTTAAACAGGATTTATCTTTGTAGCCTTGGCTCTCCTGGACTCACTTTGTAGACCAGGCTGGCCTCAAACTCACAGAGATCCACCCGCCTCTGCCTCCCTGAGGGCTGGGATCACAGGCGTGCACCACCACACGTGGCTTTGTAATTGGCTTTTTAATTTTGTAGGGTGTTACAATTAAGAGATTGCCTTGAGACTTAGAAGAGAGTTTGGACTTTTAAGCTGTATTGAGACTGTGAAAGACTATGGGACTGTAAAAGTTGGATTAAACATATTTGACATTATGACTTCTCCACACGGGGACCAGCAAGTGGAATGTTGTGGTCTGAGTGAAAATGGCCTGTCTTAGTTAGGTTTCTATTGATAAAACACCATGAGCAAGGCCAACTTGGAGTGGAAAGGGTTTGTTTCAGTTTACAGTTCATAGTTATCCAAAGACGTCAGAGTAGAAGCTCAAGGCTACAACCTGAGGCAGGAACTGATACAGAGGCCATGGAAGAGTGCTGCTTACTGACTTGCTCTTCATAGCTTGTTCAGTCTGGTTTCTTAAAGAACCCAGAGCCACCAGCCTAGGGTT